GCTGGTTCTGCCGGCGTGCAAAGCGCGGGTGTTTAAAAGATGTCACCTTTATTTCTGTTTATTGTCCATCAGCAAACTATTAAATTCACGCTCATAGTGCCATCCATGGGAAGGACAGCATGTTATACACTTACTGTTTGTTAGAATGTTTAGGAAAAACTAAGTAATTTAAGAATTGTAAAATCAGTTTTTTTAAAAAATGGCTTTTTTGTAAAAACAAATGCATATAATCATCTTACTCTCTTTTGAGGGTAGATCTGAGAAAGTCGGGTCAGCTATACTTCAGTTAAAGGGGATGTTATATTCCTTTTTTTTTTTCTTTTTTTGTGGTACCGGGGATTGAACTCAGTACCCTGCGCCTGCCAGGCAAGTGCTTATTCTACTGAGCTATCTCCCCAGCCCCCTGTTATACTCCTTTTTAAAATTTTTTTTGCTATAAATCATGTGTGCAGTTTTGTGGAGAAATAACCTTCCATGATTAAGTACAACTCACTATCGTAGTAGTTTATAAATGGGCAGAATCCAGTGTGCTGTTCTATGTAGGTTCTCAGTTCCTTCAGACATGTGCACCTTGTCACCACAGAAAGTGATTTCAGCCCCTGAGTTATGGTTCAGGCACTGACTCCTCCAAATGGTTACGTTCTTCCTAAGCTTACAAAATAAATAAAAATTTTGCTAGGATGTCTAGCTACACAAAAATAGAGAGAAAGCCCATATTTCCTAAAGGCATTATAAGTTCTGTTTTTGGTGGTAGTTCACAATGTATGGCATATTCCAGTAGGATATAAGTAAATACATGGGAGGAAGGAAGGAAAGGGAGAGAAGATGAGAAAAAAAAAGGGGACTCTTCCTCTGGTCTAAAGTTTGGGCTTAGGTTTTCAAAATAATGAAGTAGGTGTTTCTTTCATAATACTTTGTTTTATGGCACCTAGTCATTTAAAAAGATAAAAAAGTATGCATCTTATGAATATTAAAGGACTTTACAATGCAGTTAATTGAATGAGATTAGTAAATTCCAGAGGGAAATTTACAAATCTAGTTTCTTTCTCATATCCACAGTACCTTCTGAATTACTTGTTTATAAAAGCAGGAAACTTGTAAGGACTGTGAGACCAGAGGGAAGGGGAGGACCAGAGGCGGGGAGTGACCTGGCCAGCCACCCTGGAGGGGGCAAGAGGAGGAGGACACAGCAGCTGGCCTGGGCTCAGGCTCTGCTGCAGCACCCTTCCACCAATGTTCCTGCCTGTGTAGGTGTTGGTTCCTTCCCCCATGTTTGCAGCATTTGCTTGACGTCAGCTGGGCACTCAGACCCCATCCGTGCTTGCTGGGCTGCTTGGGTGACATCAGGCTCCAGGAGGCAAGGCGACTTCCTTGTGGTACACATGGGAGTGTGCCTGCTGTGAGGTCTGGTGTGGGCTGGGGACACTCCACAGAAGATGTCTAGCATATAGTCCGACTTTTTTCCTTGCATGCATTACCAAGGGTTAAGCCCAGGGCCTTTGTACCTTTTTTTAAAATTTTGGGCCAGGGTCTTACTAAGCTGCTAAGCTGCCCAGACTGGGTTTGAACTTGAAATGCACCTTTTCCAGCTTCCCAGAGTGCTAGAGTCACCAGTGTGCACCACCCCACCCCACCCCCCGCAATGTGTGGCTGTCTTTGGGGTCAGTCTGTAGGCTGCTGGGCCCGCTGTCACTTTGCCCAACCCCCCACCCCGGCCCCACCACCTTCCGCACAGTGTGGCGGGCCTTCGTAGCCTGTGTTCTCCTGTGATGACAGTGCACAGTGCTCCTGGAGGCTGGGCCCGCCCTCGCATACGTGTGCAGTTGGTCTGCTATGTCAGCAATGAGGCCCTCCATAAATGTTCTTTAAAGGAATTAAAGCTGTTCCCCCAGAGCACAACCTTTTGGGGCTTTAAAAATAGCAGTATTGAGTTATCTACCTAATAGATTTCTACTAGGAAGAAAATTAATCTTAAATGTTTCCTTTGTTCTTTAGTATTTACACTTAGAAAACGTAAAGGTACTAAACGCCAAAATGTCCTTGGGCCTTCCATACTTATGAAAATGGCCACAAACATAAGTTGTGAAAACCTCAGGGTTCCTCATTTGTTAAATTGGTTGTCATATCTGCATTACCCTATAGTAGAATACAGTCTCTAAAAATACTGTGATGTAAGTTGGTGTTTGGCGAGCTGCAGTTTAGTTGACATCGACTGTGCCACTCCTGGCGGGTTTCGGTGTCTTGGTGCTGGACAGCAGCCTCGGCGGTCAGAGCCCGCTCGTGCAGCAAGGCCTGTTCCGGATGTTACAGCGCGGGGCACAGGGCTGTGCCTCTCGGCGTCCAGGCAGCGTAGCCCCTGTGTGCCTGTCCTTGGCGCTTGAACTTTGCCTGTGGCTTCCTCAGGTACCTGGGATCCAAGTCAGATAAGCAAAATGTCGTGTCCCTAAGGCCTTTCCCTTCTAATTTTCTTCTCGTTCTCTGTTAAAAGCATTTTTTAAAACATGCTTCATACTTTTATATTCTCAGTTGTATTTTTGAGATTTTTTTCCTTGTGTTCCACTTCCTGTGAGTCTCTTGGTCTTTGCAACTTCAGTTTCCATATGAAATGTGAAACTTACACAGATACAACAAAGATAATGTGTTACAAGAAATTTGTTTTTCTTTTTTATGTGGAGAATCTTTTTTTTTGTAAAATACAGAATAGGCGGATTTCAGTGCTTTATTGATGCTGTCAGCCATAGAAGAAATGCTAAAAGTGAGAGCTTTGAGCATGACCTCTTTTCTAGTCCTCAGGGTGGGGCTTTCTGGAACCCCGTGGATTGTGTGGGTGCCCTCTGCCTGGTGGGGCGCACTTGCATCCACAGGACTAGGGGGGAGGTACTGTATGCCAGGTGTGTGTGCCCTTGCCCCAGGATCTGTTCGGTTCCACATAAAGGTCTCATTTAGAATAAATGCATGACAGCAAATATGTGGGTGTGTACATTCCTACACAAATGTATGATTGTCTACATAAAATTTGTTATCAGTCGTTTTAAATGTCTCAGGTCTTTGTTTTATTTTGTTGTTGATTTTGATGGTACCGGGCATTGAACTCAGGACCTTGCCCTCACCAGGCAAGCATTTATTCCACTGAGCTATCTGCCCATGTTGTTGATTTTGACAGAGGGTCTCTGTGTAGAGAAGTAGTTTCTTAGGTCTTTGAACTATGAAAAAAGCACAGTAATTTGCCTATACTGGTTCTATTTAAGAGTAGTTCATTAGGGCTGGCCAAATAGCTCAGCGGATTAAAGCACCTGTAAGCAGACGCAGGGGCCAGGGGTTCCATTCCTGGGCCTGCCGTGCCGGCCCCGCCCCCAGCGTGTGCTGATACAGCAATTGAAGCTGAGCATGGTGGCGCGCGCCTGTAATCCCAGCTCTTGGGAAGCTGTAAACAGGTGGATCACTATGAGTCCGATCTAGTAATGAGACCCTCAACATTCTGTAGACCCTTCCCTAAAATACAAAAAAAGAAGTAGTGCATTCTATATTATTTTTGCAAGAGATCTGAGGACATTTAGATATAGGGCAGCTTCTTCTGTACATGTTACCGTAGGTAAAACTGAACATTTGTAAAGCACAATCTGTTTGCTTCCTGACTTCCTAAATAGGCAGCCGTCTTCACTTAGGAGCAGCTCTTCCCAGACTGCTAGCAGCTTCTGAGAGGTTTTAGCTTGTCTTTCAGAAGGCCTCAGTATAATGGATACTGGACGCAGTCAGAATATCGGAATTCCTAAGCTGGCTGCACTCAGGTGATCCGAAGCTTACCATTACATTCCCAGGGGCTCGTGAGTTTCCTACTGCCAAACACCCCCAGCCTTTTGGGTGTTCATATGGCCGTGTGTTCCTTGAATGACACCTGCCATTTGACCAGCCCCCCAACGTCACTCCTGCAGCACCCTCTGGGAACAGTCCTTGGGGAGAAGCCAGGCCCCAGGGGTGTGCTTTTGAAGTCATCCTTGTGGCAGACTTCCCTGTAGTCCTTAAAATATGATGCATTTTAGTTGTTGAAGTTTCCCAGGGTGAGTTCCTCACAGAGGAGGAGCTGTGTGTGTGTGTGTGTGTGTGTGTGTGTGTGTGTGTGTGTGTGTGTGTAATTCCCTCCGTGCTGGGTACCTGAGCTCAGAGCGTACACAGGGAGCACCGGGCCTGCGCGGGGCCGGCCCTCCTGAGGGCAGCCTTTAATTTTATACCCGAGCATGGCCAGCACCTCAGCCACCAAAGCCCCATCTCCAGAACATGGCCTCCGTTGGTACTGACAGTTCAGATCCTGGTTCTGAATTGTTACACGATCATCCTACATTTAAGGAAGTTGGTTTGTATATTTTATTTTTTATTTATTTATTTTCCTGTAACTTAGAGAAGGCTCTACAGGGTATACAGGGTCTCACTACTAGATCAGACTGTGGTTTGCTTGTCTGCAGCCTCCCAAGAGCTGGGATTGCAGACATGTGCCACCACGCACGGTCTCAGTTGCTCTCTCAGCGTGCCACAGGGCCAGGGCCGGCACGGTGGGCCTGAGGATCAAATCCCTGGCCGCTGTGCCTGCTTGCAGGTGCTTTAATCCGCTGGGCTATTTGGCCGGCCCAGGTTTGTATATTTTCTGGGGTATTGTTTTCATATATAATGGTCTCACACATATTAAGTATGTGAAAACTGCTAATAAGTTTCTTGATTTGTCTTTTTAAGTAGAATTCTTTGCAGTGTATTAATATCATCTCTCAAGAAATATCATAACTACTTGGCCAGTATGGCAAGTACTAGTATTAAATTGTAACTGTAACAATGAAAACACCACCAGATTTATTTTAAAAAATGAGTGATTATACCACTTGAAAAACTCCAGTTCTACGAGTTTAAAATAGTTAAAGCAAATGTTTACAGTCGCCAAGATTCTGTATACTATGTGGCTATGTTATTAAAATACATCTATGTACTTTGATTATTCTTATTTTTAACTGCAGGAGCTCTTACCAAAGTAAAGGAGAGTAGGCGGCATGTGGAAGAGGGGAAGATGGAGGCCCAGAAGGCTGACGGCATCCAAGACCGCTGCAACACGATTTCCTTTGCTACTTTGGCTGAAATTCACCATTTCCATCAAATTCGAGTAAGAGACTTTAAGTCACAGATGCAGCATTTCTTACAACAGCAAATAATATTTTTCCAAAAAGTAACACAGAAGTTGGAAGAAGCTCTTCACAAATATGATAGTGTTTAATATCTGGACATTGGATTGTGGACTCTTTTCAGTTCAAGGATAATTTCTACAGCAGAGTAAAAACTGCTATCAAAGAACTATTGCCAACTATCAGTGGTGGTACAAGGATGGTTTTGTGTTCAACTGAAGCCCAGCTGAATATATAATTATGTAGAAGAGAAACAGTTAATATGGTTATATAATAGAAACAGTACCACACATTGTAATTAAATTATACTATGTATGCCTACACTACCATTGTAACTTTTGGAATAATGATTATACTATTTGCCTTATTGCTTTTTGAAGTATGGGTATTTTAGTGCATACTTTGTAGACCTCAAAGCCCACAAAGGGTCTCAAAGAATCTGGCTGGATAACAGCCTGCTGTGGATGCCTTCTTACTCTCCTAGATTGGGATTACCTAAATTCAACCTATTCTCTGTTTACAAACTCCAACTAGAGCAGCTATGCGACTTTGTGCCTTTAGACTCTTGGGTTTTCCTTTCTGTTCCTGCCCCCCTCTTAAGTAAGCCCCACATTTTCTGGTCAGAAGAGTGAAAGGCCAGTGCATTTGATGACGCACTGAAGATAGCCTGCTGTTGCTGGGGTGGGGGTCGCAGGAGGCTCGGTCTCCATCAGCTTGCACAGCGGGCGTCATCTCCTGGTAAGACGCTGGTGAAGGGAGAAGAGCGAAGCTCACTTGTCCTCGGATGTGAAGCGTGCTGGGAAGAGACGGTGCGCCCTGTCCTCCTAGATGCGCCAGTAGTGTAGCCTCTGCACACGGGAGTCCTAAGGCAAGGTGCGAAGAGCAGCAGACGCGTCTTACAACAGGGAAAGGAGGAGTCTGCCCCGTCAGGGGATACAAGTGCAGAGTCAACAACACACGCTCTATTTTAGTTCTTAGGAAGATTTTCTTTTCTTTCTGCTTGAAGATTTTCTTTTAATACTCAGTTTTGTTTTTTTTTTTGTTTGTTTGTTTTTAAATGGATCTACACTGTTAACTGATTGAGACTCCACTGTGATTCACTCGTTTACGTAATCAAAAACTTTTCAGGGATGTCTGTAAATTTCAGTGTTATACGTGATAAAAA